ACCCCTTTTCCGCGCGCGTGGCCCTCGTCCAAGGTGAGCGCCGGCATCGCGCGACGCGGCAGGACCTCCTCGCCCGCCCGCGCTCCCACGAGTTCATTCGTTTGCTGGGAGATCTTGGTGTCGGAAGGCCCAGGTACTACATGACGAGAACCTGTCTACTCAAGCGCACTCGTGCGGATTGAAAAACACAAACCGAAACAAAACCCAGGAGTGGTGGTGAATGCAAGTAATCCCGAGAAAGATGGGTGTGGAGTTCCAGGCTGGCCGCCGCTAAATGATTAACCATTTAAGATGGCATTTCACTGGCAAACGACCGTTTTTGTATGTATTTATTGCAACAATATATTTAAGATGATGAGTAAGCAAACTGCATCACCATTTCACTTAATTTTTTTCATGTTTTTTAGGAAGGAATTAGATATTTAATAATAGTTTAGAAATGAGAAGATTGTGGGTAATCAGTTTTGCTTTCAGTTATGGATTGCATTTCTTCTTGTATGTTGGGCATATAGAACAATGTTCCCCAAATGTTTTATATATAAATATTATAATTTAAGATATATATATATATATATATATATATTTGTATTTGTGGTGCTAGAAATTGAATCCAGGATCTGGTCCCAAAGTGCTGCCTCTCCCCTTCTCCCCTTCCCTCCCCTCTTCTCCTCTCCTGGTCCTGACTTGCCCTTCTTTTTTGAGACAGTGCCTTACTCAAAGTGCCTTACCCAGATAGGCTTTGAATTTGCAGTCTTCCTGCTTGGATTATAGGTGTGTACTACCACAAGTAGGTCTTGAACTACACAATGTCCGATATTCCCTTACCTTCTCAGTTTTCGTTTTTATTTTCAAGGCCTGGATTTTATTTGTCTGTAGGTGCTGAATTAGGAACAAAACACACATTTTCTGTTTTGTTGTTGTTTTTCGTCAGTTGTGGGTCCTGAACTTTGGTCCTGGGCGCTGTCCCTCAGCTCTTCGGCTCAAGGCTAGTGCTCTACCACTCAAGCCACAGCGCTACTTCCGGCTTTTTCTGCTTATGTGGTACTGAGGAATCGAACCCAGGGCCTCATGCATGCAAGGCAAGCACTCTACCACTGAGCCACCTTCCCAGCCCACATTTTCTGTTTTGTTTCATTTAAAAGTAGTCTGATTTTAGGGAACAGATTCCAAGTTGGAGCTTTGGTACAGTCTCAGTCTTCTAGTAGTATACTTTAAAAGGTGAGATCACTCATTGATTCATTGATTCTCCTGGAAAGTCACATAAGTCTTTTTTTTTTTTTAATGTATGTGTGGTAGGCACCTGGGGCTTCAGGCATGGTGTTGCTCTACCACTTGAGCCATGCCTCCAGCCCAGCTTTTGCTGGTTAATTGGAGATGCAGTGTTGAACTTTTTTAAAAGCATGGGCTGGTTTCAAATCTTGATCTTTAGCTCTTAGCCTCTTGAGTAGCTAGAATAATAGTTGTAAACCACTGGCACCTGAGAATATTAATATTCATAATTCTAATATGTTTGGTGAAATGAGGGTATGGTAGAATCAGCATTGAGCACTGAAGCACATGCTGGTCATGGGAGATGGATAATGATTGACAAGGCAAGCTGCCTTAAGGGGGTGGTAGCCTAGTACTGAGGGAAATAACATTTACAATGTCATGACCAGTACATGTGGAAACATGTATATTAAAGTAGAAATAAAAGTTTCATGAAATTACTATACCTGGTCTTTACTCTGTGCAGTCCTGTCAAAATTTCCTATTGCTTTGTTCTATTTAATTAAAAAATATTCTGATATCCAGACTATCAAACGCAAACCATCAAAATGAGTCTTTTCTACCTTTGTGAAAAATTCTGCCATTATAGATATTAATGAGATAGGTTGGTTTTTGTTTGCCTATTTTTGGTTTTTAGAGACAGTGTCTTCATGTAGTCAAGGTTGGCCTTAAACTCATGATTCTCCTGTCTTAGTTTACCAAGTGTCAGGATTGCAGGTATATACCAAACATGTTTTTTTTTATTGTTGTTTGTTTTTAGTGCTTGTTCATTTTTATTGCCTTTAAAAATTTTAAATTTATTTTTAATATATATATTTTATTGTAAAGATACTGTACAGAGGGGTTACAGTTACATGAGTAAGGTAATGAGTACATTTCCTATCGAGCATTGTTACCCCCTCCTTTGCTTTTCCCCCACCATCCCTTCCCTCCCCACTTCCCCAACTCCTCCCCCCTAGCGAAGTTGTAAAGTTCATTTTCTCATAATGTCTTGTACATCCCATTGTTACAGTGAGTCAACCTGTATCCTTATTTCAGCATTTTGTTATTTCCCTTCCCCTCCCCAAATTAGAAAAATGTATATACAAGAGGCAGGGCACCTGAATCAAATACAGTGAAAACAGGGGTTAAGTGAAGTAAGCCAGGCCCAAAGAAACATAAGTCTCATGGTTTCCCTTAGTTGCAATAACTAGTATATGTCTAGGATAAGCAGAAAAGGTCAAGAGCTATGTACATATGACCATATAAGATGATGCTAAGTGAAATGAACCCCAAGATAGGGACACAAGAGGTTTTATAATGGAAAGAAGCTAGAAGTTTGAGGACAGGAGCTCCTCATTTCTTATTTTTTATTTTTTAAATTTATTGTAGGGTTTGGACTCAGGGCCTGGGGGCTGTCCCTGAGCTTCTTTTGCTCAAGGCTAGTGCTCTACCACTTTGAGCCACAGTCCCAATTCTGTGGTTTTAGGTGGTTAATTAGAGATAAGAGTCTCAAGGACTTTCCTGTCTGGGCTGGCTTTGAACCTGGATCCTTAGATCTCAGCCTCCTGGGTATATAGGATTATAGGCATGGGCTGCCAGTGCTCAGCTGAGCTCCTCCACTTTTAGCCTCTAGTCTGTTTTTGTAGCATGTTCCTTCTTGTCAGTGATTTTTTTTCCTTCCTTTTCATTTTGGTTCTAGTACTGTGGTTTGAACTCAGGACCTCATGTTCTCACTTAGCTTTTTCTGTTTAAGGCTGGTGCTTGATCACGTGAGCCACAGCTCCATTGCTGGCTTTTTGTTGGCTAGAGATAAAAGTTTCATGGCTTTGTCTTCCAGGGCTGGCTTCAAACCTCCCTCCTCAGATCTCAGCCTTCTGAGTAGATGACAGGTATGAGCCCCCAGTGTCTAGTGTTAGTGACTTTCTTTCAAAGGAATCCCGGTGCCATTGAGCCCGGCAGTGGACTGGCCAAGCCTAGATTACCGGGAAGTACAGTTCCACCTTTGGACTCTGAGCCTTCTCCCCCGCTTTTTTTTTTTTTTTTTAGCTCAGCTTCACTGGAGGACTTACCCTACCCAGGGCAAAGTCAGCCTTTCTGTCTGTCTCTACCCTTCCAGCTTCTTAGTCCCTTAGTCATAACTGCTCAGAACTGGTTCTCTGATGAGGAGGTGAGGGTTGTCATTCTGGTATTTCATCTTGGGAAATGTGAAGTGGGAGCTTCTACAGCTTCCATGGTTGTCACCTAGGTGGAAGGGGTGAATTTGTTCAGCGTGCACTGTGTTCATGTATGGAGATAGCACAGTGAAACCCGCATCATGCTACAAATATGTACTAATTGAAATTAAAAATTCTAAGCCCAGTTGGGCGCTGGTGGCTCATGCCTGTAATCCTAGCTACTCAGGAGGCTGAGATCTGAGGATCGAGGTTCAAAGCCAGCCCCGGCAGGAGAGACCGTGAGACTCCTATCTCCAATAAACCACCAGAAAACCGGAAGTGGCACTGTAGCAAGTGGTAGAGTGCTCGCCTTGAGCTGAAGAGCTGAGAGGGACAGTACCCAGGCCCAGAGTTCAAGCCCCACGACCGACAAAAAAAAAAAAAAATTCTAAGCCCAGCCCCAGAAGGGAAGGGCTCCTTTCCCTTCAAATGCCTGCATGGTTTCTGGAAAAAGCCTTTAGGAGCCTTTAGGAAGCTGCTGACAGAAAATGAGATAGCAAGCAGAGTCAAATAGCTACTTTTTTTTTTTTTTTGGTGCGGGTCCTAGGGCTTGAACTCAGGGCCTAGGCACTGTCACTTAGCTTTTTCCATTCACTGGAGCCATAGATCCACTTCTGGCTTTTTGCTAATTACATGGAGATAAAAATCTCATGGACTTTCTTACTTGCGCTATTTTTGAACAGTGATCCTCCCATCTTAGCCTCTTGGGTATTTAGTGTTACAGGAGTGAGCCACTGGCACCCGGTAAGAAGTTGCTCTTGATGTATTAGACTGAATCCAAACAAAGGCTATTGGGTGCCTGAAGGGGCAGAGCCCCTTGTCAACCCTTGAGGCCAGCATTGTCTGAACTCATCTTCACGTTTGCGTACACATAAGGTGTGTGAGGGGGTTGCTGCCAGGGCCCTGCTGCTCTTCCTTGGTTGAATCTGGCTAAGTACTAGCATTCCAGGACAGACCTGGTATAGGGCTGCTGTGTGGCCAGAGCTTCCTGTGCCAATCCTCTCTTTTTACTTTTGAGTGGTACACTCATGTCTCATTATGTAACCCAGGCTTGGCCTCAGGCTCCTAAGTATCTGGAATTGCAGGTATGTGCCACCCTGCCGGGCTCATTGGTTCTTAACAAGAGAGCAGTAATATGGGGATTCTTAAGGGTCATAACCCCTTTCTCCTTTTTTCCTGAAGGTACCTGGCTAAGACTTGGATTCTTCTCCCCCCTCCCCAAGATTCTCAATCATGTCTTGATGGGCTTGACTCTGCTGTGCTGGCAACTTTTGGGCAGGAGAAATGGCTCTGATGAAATGGGGGCTGGGAAGGCAGAAGTTTCGTCTGCTGAAGAGGAGCTCCCTGCTGCTGAAACTCCTAGCCATTGTCTTGGCTGTGCTTCTATTTTGTGAATTTTTTATCTATCATTTGGTCATCTCTCGGTGTAATTGGCCTGAGCTGAAAACTGCAGTCCATGGTGGTGGACAGGAACCTGTGCTGAGAGCCATGTTTTTGGCTGATACCCACTTGCTTGGGGAAATAAGAGGCCACTGGCTGGATAAATTACGAAGGTAAGAAGGAAAAGTCCAGAATTCTTCTGGAGGTCTCTCAGCTGCATGGCTTCTGGTTAGTCATTTTCCTCTCAGAGAAGGATGTTTGAGACCTTTGACCTTTTCCAATTTTGTGTTTATTGACCATCCAGTATACTCAGCCCCATGAAACTTGAGGGCTCAGATATGGGCCACTGATTAGTTACTGGAGTTCCTCCAAGCTCCTGCCTCCCTGTTACTTGGGACTCTCCTGACTGCTTGTTTTCGTGTGTGTGTGTGTAAAAAAAAAAAAAAATATATATATATATAATTTATTTTTTACAAGAAACCTCATAGCTGTGAGAAGGAGCCCATATAGCATCTGGGAGTGGTCTCCTGGTTAGGGAAGAGCACAGATCTGGTTTGGTGGCTCTTCCTAATGTGTGTTTTTTTTTTCTTTGTACTGGAATAGAGCTTGAACTCAGGGCCTGACCACTGATCCTTAGCTTTGAGGCTCAAGGTTAGAATTCTACCATTTGAGCCACCGCTCTATTTTTGGCTTTTTAGTAGTTCATTGGAGATGAGATTCTCATGGACTTTCTGTCCAGGTTTGCTTCAAACCTCAATCCTCAGATCTCATCCTCCTGAGTAGCTAGGATTACTGTTTCTTCCATTATCTCTCCCTAGCTCTGAAGGAGAGATCCCTTGAAGACTGGCGCATAGCTCAGTAGTAGAGCATTTGCCTAGAATGGGCACAGTCCTGGACTTAATGTCTAACACTGCAAAAAAAAAAAAAGAAAGTGAAACTGAGGTTGTGTCCTATCATTTTCTAGACTTAGTGAAAAATTGGTCTAAATTGGGCATCTCTCAAAGGTACATAGCTCTCTCAAGTCCCAGGATTCTGTTTGTTAAGGAGAGGGGAGATGATACTGGGGCTTGAACTCAGGGCCAGCGCATTTTCCCTTAGCTTTTTCTGTTTCCTACGTGAATCCATGGTTCTACTTCCTGCTTTTTGGTGGTTGATAGGAGATAAGAGTTTCATAGACTTTCCTGGCTGACCTGGCTTTAAACCTTGTTCTTACATCTCAGCCTCCTGAGTAACTAGGATTACAGGTGTGAGCCACAGGCTCCCAGCTCCTGGGCCCTCTTAATGGAATGATGGCTAGACTCAACACAGTACAGTGGAATAGCATTTGAGAGATATGAGAGAGGCAGACTGACTCTGTTTTGATGCCTTCATTGCCCACTTTTAGTAAGATACAGACTCAATGACCTTTCCACAATGAGGGTAAGATGGTAAGAGCAGGTTTGTGAAAGAAAAATGGGACCCTTTGGTTCATTCTGTAAATGACCCAGAAGACACAAATAGCTTCTTCCCAAGAAACAGGTGGATGCATAATTTCTCCTCTGGTCCTCAAGGGAATGGCAGATGGAGAGGGCCTTCCAGACAGCTCTGTGGTGGCTGCAGCCTGAAGTTGTCTTCATTCTGGGGGACATCTTTGATGAAGGGAAGTGGAGCTCCTCTCAGGTAGGGCCCTATGGTCCAAGTGCCCTAATTTTGATTGGAGTATTTCATACAGACAGCTCAGTTCCCCAGAGCACCTGTGAAACTATTGGCTTGAGTTGAAATGCCTGGTCCTGGGGCTAGGTCTATAGCTCAGCAGTAGAATGGGTGATTAGCATGTACTTAGATTAGTCAGACATCATTTAGTTGGAATGTATAGTCCTTGGAACCTTTTGGCAAGAAAACAGGCAACTGATTCTATTTCAGTTGTCATCTAAGTCAGAATACATTTGAAATGGACATTTATTTAACTTTACACTTTATTTATTTATATTTTGGGAGGCAGCATCCTGTGGCTGAAGTCCAGGCCTCGTGTTTGCTAGGCGTGAGCTATGCTAGTAAGCTATGTCCTTAGCCCAGAACTTTATACCATTTAAGCAATACATTATGAGAACTGTGTTACTAAAGTTTTTTTTTTTTTAAGAATTGTGTCAAAGGAGCAATGGAAAACTTGGTGTGAGGCTTCTGTCTTCTGAGGGGCCTGGGTATTGGGGTGAAAAAAGTCCACAAACCAAAGAGAAAGGTTGTGCCCATTTGTCAGAATGATTTGCTTATAATGTTTTTGGAATGGATGTACTCTTGCTATTCATACTCCTAATGGTTTTTAGAAGAGATTTTATTTGAGGATATTGAGACAAGAAATCTTCAGTATTTTACAGGACAGTATTAGAAGTCTATTCTTTACACAATTGTAAAAATGTTTGTTATAATGTAACCTCTAGTTAAATATTAGATACTAGAAATAAAAAACCCAACTAGCTATAAACTAATTGTATATATTGCTTTTACAAACTAAGAACAAGAATTTATGATTTTCTAAGTTTGTTATTCTGATTTCCTGTTATTCTCAATTCAATTTTTTTTTTTTGGTGCCAATACTAGGACTTGAAAATTAGGCCTCTCACTCCTGTTTAGCTCTTTGTTTACTGCTGGCACTCTACCATTTGAGCCACACTTGCACTCCTAGCTTTTTGCTTTAATTGGAGATAATTTCTTGGATTTGTCTGCCCAGGCTGGCTTTGAACTATTATCTTCAGATCTCAGCCTACTGAATAGTTAGGATTACAAGAATGAGCTACTAGCACCTGACTGTGTTATTCTAACTTTAAATATTACTATTATTATTATTTTTGTCAGTCATGGGGCTTTAACTCTGGGCCTGGGCACTGTCACTCTGCTCAAGGCAAGCACTCTACCACTTGAGCCACAGCTCCATTTCCTGTTTTCTGGGGGTTAATTGAGATAAGAGTCTCATGGACTTGCTGCCTGGGCTGGCTTTGAACCATGATTCTCAGATCTTAGCCTCCTGAGTGGCTAGAATTACAGGCCTGAACCACCAGTGCCCGGTAAATATTATTTCTTAAAGCATAGTCTTTGTAAATGTATTGAAGGACTTTAGCTAGCATATTTCCTGATTATGCCATGGTTAAAACTTCAGGATGGTTGGTCATAACCCAGAAGAAGGGGGTTCTTATTAGAGTATTTATTTGTACAGTTGATATTTTTAGGCTTATATAAAAAAAAAAGACCTTAAGTGTGGTGCCAGTGGCTCATGCTTGTAATCCTAGTTGTTCAGGAGGCTGAGATTTGAGGATTGTGGTTCAGAGCTAGCCTGGACAGAAAAGTCTATGAGACTCTTACCTCCAGTTAACCAGCAAAAATCCAGAAATGGAGCTGTGGCTCATGTGGAAGAGTGCCAGCCTTGAGTGAAAAAGCTAAGGGAAAGCATGAGGCTTTGAGTTCGAGTGGAATGACAACAATAACAACAAAATCTAGAATAACATAATTCTGAAGCTTTAACATTAAAAGCAAATGTCAGAATAATTTGTAATATATTTTAATACTTACCTTTTGTTTTTCTGGCAAATGTCACTAATTCTCATTCTCAGTGTGAGCCACAGGGGATCTGCATTCTGAATGACATTGTTACCTATGTCTCAACTGAGGCACATCAAGAACTTCTGTGACATTTTCTGAATCTGTTCTTTGAATGTGCATGGATCTGGGGCATTTTTTTAAATCTGGAGTTCATACAAGAGTTCAGAGGATCTTGCAATATTTAAAGAATTGAATAAAAAATATTGAGATAGCATTGGAAAAAAGAGTTAAAATTTCATGTCGTATGTGAACATGATTTGGAACAGGGAATTACCTCCTCAGATCAAAATAGAACCCTATTTTTAGCTCAGGGAAGAGGGCTTTCTTGTTCTCACCGAGGTCCTGTGTTCTTTCAGGCCTGGGCTGATGATGTGCAGCGGTTTCAGAAGATGTTCAGACACCCAAATCATGTGCAGCTGAAAGTTGTCGTTGGCAACCATGATATTGGTTTCCACTACCAGTAAGTAGAATTTTGAATTCAGGGCCTTGTGCTTTCTAGGCCATATACTCTTACTGCTGGGCCATGCTCTTAGCCTTTTTTTTTTGCTGGTTTTTAAATTATTTTTTTGTTGTTGGTTGTGGGGCCTGAATTCTGGGCCTGGTGCTGTCCCTCAGCTCGAGCCTAGCGCTCTACCACTTGAGCCACAGCACCACTTCCAGCTTTTTCTGCTTATGTGGTGCTGAGGAATCAAACCCAGGGCCTCATGCACTTAAGGCAAGCACTCTACCACTGAGCTGCCTTCCCAGCCTCCCCTCCCCCCCAATTTTTTCAAAATAGGGGCTCACATGTCCTTCTCAGACACAGCTTGGATAGGATCCACCTGTATTAGACTTCCTATAATAGCTAGGGTAACACACATGCACCATTAGGCCTAGTTCTTAGTTGGGAGTGGGGAATCTGTCTCAGCTGGCTTTGAACTACAACCCTTCCAATCTGAGCCTGCCAGATAGCTAGGATTATAGGCATGAGCTACTGTTGCCCTGCCCGGTAACACTGGTTAATTGTCATTTTAAACCAGTTAAAATTTAAGAGAAAACCTTCTTCATGCTTATTGAGGAAATTTGTTTTTTCCAAAGATAGAAGCTTTGGAATGGAAGCTGCTCCTTAAGGGATTTAAAATATCCTGGAACATAGCATGGCCTCATTAAATAATTGTTGCAAGAGTGAATTATACGTGCCTTAGAAAATATCTAGTTTGAAATATGCTTATTTCTTTCCTTTTTCTTTTTTTGGACAGGATCTCTATATAGTCAGTCTGACCTTGAACTTGTAGTCTTTATACCTCAGCCTTTTGATTGAAATTATTTTTTCCTTTGGAAGCCAGAAAAAAAAATCCAATTTTGCTTTAATAACTCACTTTATACAGTGCTGTAGTGCCTATGTCTTAGCTCATTTTAAGTACTTCCATGTATGTCTTAGCTCATGTTAAATACTTCCATGTATTAACTTCTTTACTCTTTATCACTGGCCCATTATTGTAGTCATTGTTTCAGTTCCAGACAGTGGGGTCCAAGGTAGCTAAGTAACTTCTCCCAGGCATTGTGGGAAGTAGTGGAGTTGAGATTTGAACCTTGATTGCCTGGGCCAGCTGGAGTCTTTAACCTAAAGCTAGTCTGACCCTCAGATCTTGAAAATATTTCACGATAGTGCTAAGATTCTGACATATTTCTTTTTACAAATGAATGCAGGATGAACAGATACCTAGTAAAACGATTTGAGAAAGTGTTCAACTCTGAAAGGCTGTTTTCTTGGAAAGGAGTTAAGTGAGTATTATTTATGGATTCTTATAATGACTTTGAGTCTTTGAAGGCTTTATTTTTCTTTTCAAATGTGGGGTTGGGGGTGGACCCTGGACCTCATGGTTGTTGATTACATGCTTTACCATTGAGTTGTAAACTCCCCGTCCCCCCAACCTAGAACTTCATCTTCATTTTTCACACATGACTGCCACAATTGGTCCACCCCATGTTTTCCCCTTCTGTAGGTCATGAGGCTTGAACTCTGGGCTTGGGCTCTGTCCCTGCACTCTTCTGCTCAAGGTGAGTGCTCTACTGCTTGAGCCACAGTGCCACTTCCGGTTTTCTAATGGTTTATTGGAGATAAGAGTCTGACAGACTTTCCTGTCTGGGCTGGCTTTTGAACAGCCAACCTCTCTTGGATTTGTCCGGACTGGCTTTGAACCAAGATCTTTAGATCTCAGTGTTCTTGGGTAACTAAGATTACAAGTGTGAAGCTGGGTGCTGGTAGTTCATGCCTGTAATCCTAGCTATTCAGGAGGCTGAGATCTGAGGATCACAGTTCAAAGCCAGCATGGGCAGGAACGTCCATGAGACTCTTACCTCCAAGTAATGACCAGAATACAGGAAGTGGCCGCTGTGGCTCAAGTGGTAGAGCACTAGCCTTGAGCTGAAGTGCTCAGGGACAGTGCCCAAGCCCAGAGTTCAAGCCCCATGACTGACAAAAACAAAAAACAAAACAAAAGATTATGGGTATAAACCATGTTGACCTGGTTTCTAAGGACATTCTTCCTCACCCCCAACTCCCCAATGGACATGTTTCTGGCTGAATGCCAAGCTGAGGAATTACCTGAGCCTGTGAGCTGAGCCTCAGTGATTTGGAATGTCTTGCAAGTTCAGGGTTAAAGATAGTTGGCCATGTCTCCCAGTCATGCTGTTTTTGTTTGGTTAATATTGACTCTTCAAAATGGATGGAATTAGAACAAGTCATGCTAAGTGAGGTAAGCCAAGTTCAGAGAGGCAAACAGTGCATGTTTTCCCTGATATGTGGAAGTTAGATCTAAAATGCACTGGGATATGACAAATTACACAGAATTCTAGATACTCGCATACATTTACACCAGAAGAGGATAGGCTTCAGAGAGAATCACAAAGGTGCAATACCTAAGTACCTCTTCATATGTATGTAAAGTAACATACATACAAAGATACAGAAACAAAAGACTTGTGGTCGTGGGGCTTGAACTCTGGGCGTGGTGCTGTCCCTGCACTCTTCGGCTCAAGGCTAACGCTCTACCACTTGAGACACAGTGCCATTTCCTGTTTTCTGGTCATTACTTGGAGATAAGAGTCTCATGGACTTTCCTGCCCAGGCTGGCTTTGAACTGCAATCCTGAGATATCAGCCTCCTGAGTAGTTAGGATTACAGGTGTGAGCCACTGGCACCTGGCAAGACTTTTTTCTTAAATTGTTTTTTCTTTTTCTGATGACTGTATTCTTTACATTATACATGGTGTACTGATCTGCACATCTGTGGGGGAGGGGAAGGGCATAGAATCATAGGAAAAAGGATGAAAAAGTGCAGCAGTGGAGTACACTGGCTACACTGAACACTGATAAAAGTAAACTGCAATTTAGGGAAGGGGATGGGAGAGGGGGATGGGAGAGAATGAGGGAACATATGATACTATGAGACAGGAAATGTACTTATTACCTGAATATGTAAAGGTAACTCTGCTGGATACCACCTCTGAAATCACAACAAAGTGAATTAAGGGGAAAAAATACTGTTTCTTGAAACAGTTGGTTAGCTGTTTGTTCACACTGCTTGTGCCTTGTATGCTTTCTTTGGGAGCAGTGGAAAAACAGCTTCCAAGTACCCCAGAAGCCTGACCTTCTTCTTACTCCCATCTGCTTCAGTTTTGTGATGGTCAACAGTGTTGCACTGGAAGGGGATGGCTGTGACATCTGCTCCCGAGCAGAAGCTGAACTCATTGAAATTTCTCATAAACTGAACTGCTCCCAAAAGGTAGGAGATAGTTGAAATGGCACGGGCCTTTAGCTCTGTATCCTCCACAGGCCCCCACACAGTGCCCCCGCTGACAGCGCCCCTGCTCCCCCACCAATGAGGACAGTGCTTGTGTGCTACATTAATGGGCTGATTGTGCCTAGCAGGTGCAGGGATCAGGCCAGTGTGGAGGTGGGCAGCAGCTCCCCTTGTCTGCCCCAGTGCTTCTGCAGGTAAGGACAAGAAGTGGGGTGTGGACTGGGTAAAGCCACCTGGCTCTCCAGAGTCCCCTCTGATCTCTCATTAAATCCTGGATTAGCATTACCCGCTCTACCGGACCAGTGATGCTAACTGCTCCGGGGAAGATGCTGCTCCTCCAGAGGAAAAAATCATCCCTTTTGTGGAGAAATATGATGTGCTTTCTCGGGAGGCCTCACAAAAGGTACCTTGTGTGCAGTGATGGGGTCTTAAGTCAGGGTTACTGCCCCTGCTTATGTGTCCTCAAGCAGCAGATCAGGGACAGCTTCACAGTGGTATGCTCAGGGCTTGTATTTACCAGCTGCCAGCCTGGGCAGGGTTTCTACTGTATCTCACACTCCTATCCACCTACCTTGCTCCTTTTTTTGTGTGTATGTGCCAGTCTCTGGGATTTGAACTCAGGATCTGGGTGCTATCCCTTGGCTTTTTTGCTGGAGGCTAGAACTCTACCACTTGAGCCACAGCTCCACTTTGGTTGTTTGGTGGTTAATTGGAGATAAGCATCTCACAGACTTCCCTGGAGATCAGCATCTCATAGACTTCCCTGCCTGAGCTGACTTTGAATCATGATCCTTAGATCTCAGTCTTCTAAGTAAGGATTGCAAGGTGGCTGGCTCTTTTTCTTGTTTTATATTATCTACTATTTCCTATTCTCAAGTCTGTAGTATTCTCAGTTGTTTCTTCATTTAAAGATTCCCCATTGATTGGGAACTTAAAATCATACTTTTAGGGACTTAATTAAAAATGCAGATATTTAAGAAAAATCATATATAATATGTAATATTTGAATAAATATAAAAGAAAAATTGTGTTTGTTTTTTTATTTAAAAATTTGTACCTGAATTTATTCTTAAAAGCGTGTGTGTGTGTGTGTGTGTGTGTGTGTGTGTGTGTATGTATGTGTGTATGCTAGTCTTGGAGCATGAACTCAGGGCCAGAGACTATCCCTGAGCATTCTTTGCTCAAGGTTAATAATCTACCAGTTGAGTTACAGCTCCACTTTTGACCTTTTTGGTGATTAATTGGAGGTAAGAGTTGCATGGACTTTTCTGCCTGGGCTGGATTTGAATTGCAGTCCTCAGTTCTCAGCTTCCTGAGTAAGGATCACAGGCATGAGCCACCAGTGCCCAGTGTTTTTTCTTTTAATGCCTATCCTAGGACATGAACTCAGGGCCTGACTGCTGTCCCTGAGCTTTTTTTTTGCTCAAGGCTAGCAGTCCACTACTTGAGCCACACCTCCAGCTTCTTAGACGCTAATTAGAAGCAAGAGTCTCAGACTTTCCTGCTCTGATTTGCTTCAAACAGTGATCCTTGATCCCAGCCTTGTGTAGTTATATTATAGACATGTGCCACTGGTGCTGGCTAAAAGCATAAATTTATACTTAAGGAAAAAAATATATTACTTTTTGTGCTGGTACTAGGGCTTGAAACTAAGGCCTCAAGCTCTTTCTTGGCCTTTTCTATTCAAGGTTGGCCCTCTTCCACTTGAGCTAGACCTGTAATTATGGTAAATATTTTTGTAGAATATACTTATGAACAGATTTATAAAAATAAAATATATAAAACCTGTGACAGGAAGAGTAGATTTAAGAGGCTTAGGAAAAGCAAAACAAAGAATTCTGAGGGGAAAAAAAGAAAACCAGTCCTACATAGTCAGAATTTGTACTTGGTTTCATGGGATGAACCTGGTGGTGGCCCTGGGCCCTCAGATGAGTGGAGGCTTAAGTGCTGACTCCCTGCCCTGTGTCTCCTTGGTCTGCTCAGCTGCTGTGGTGGTTCCAGCCCCGCCTGGTCCTGAGTGGCCACACACACAGTGCCTGTGAGGTGCTCCACCCTGGAGGCGTCCCTGAGCTCAGCGTCCCATCATTCAGTTGGAGGAACAGAAACAACCCCAGTTTCATCATGGTAAAGTGAAAGTTTATTTTCATCTGTAAGCTTTCGGAAGTAGTAAAATCACACAGTAATCAACTATTTAGTTGCCGCAATCTGTAAAAATGCACAAAAGGTAGCAATAAATTCCTCTCCTTGCACACTGCATCTGATACACTGGCTGTCTCTAACCTCTGCCTGGGGATGGATGAATGAATAGGGCGTAACTGCATGTGTTACTGGGAGGAGTGGAGGAGCAGCTTCAAGAGCGTTTTATCCTGTGTGTGGGAGACGAGGCCTCTGCTACCACACTGTGCATTCAAGTTTTAAGGATACAGGATCATTCACTCATTAGCTAGACACAGCTATCTCTTCTTTTTCCTGGCTGCCAGTGCTACCAGATTCACAAGCTGACCAAAGGTGGTGTTTCAGGGAATGATTACTTGATGCTTTAGGCCTTTTGTTTAACCATAGATTCCAGCATCCTGTTTATAATTTTATGCCCCTATACTGTATGTCTACTACGTAAAATCATGGGAACCCTTTGTGCTTTCAAAGTCCAAGTAAATAAAAGCATTTGCTACTGTGATTATACTTTACACTTTAGAAAGAAAAGCCAATGGAAATGTGTGGGTATTTCTGGGTAGCAGATCGCCTATTTCAGTATCAGTTGGCAGGAAAACATGTACTTCTTGTTGTTTCTCCCTGACTATTGTGTCTCAGATTCTGTGTTGCTTTCTGGATCCATCAGGTGTCCCTACACTGTGCCCAGGGGATGAGATTTTTTTTTTCAGTACTAAGGGTTGAACTCAGGATTTCACACTTATTTGGCTGGTGCTTTACCACTTTAACCATGCCTCTAGCCTATCTTTTTACTGGCTAGGATTAAAGGTGTGATTCACAAGTTCTTAGCTCAGGAGCAAGTTTAATAGAGAGTTAGCCCACCAGTTACCCACCCCCCCCAACCACACTTAACCAATGGCAGTGTGGTTGATGGTGACTTGTCAGGCTGAAGATCTCTGGGTCTTGGGTGAGGAAGACTGCTTCCTTGCCCTAACCAAGAGAAGGCAGCCTATTGTCTGCTGAGTCTGGTGCTTACTCTGTAGCTTAACTTTCCATTTCTTCCCCAGGGCAGCCTGACGTCCAGAGATTATGCCCTCTCCAAGTGTTTCCTTCCTTTTGAGGACACAGTTCTGACCATGTACAGTGGAGCAGCTGGTTTCCTTGTGGTCCTCATCTTAGCTCATTTTGAGTGTTTAGCCTCACCTTTTCTGTTGGGATGGAACCTGCTCAGAACGCACAGGACAAGGTGAGAGGTTGGTTGTTCATGTGGTAATAAATATCAAAGCTAAAGACAACCTCGGCAGAGCCTACATTAGAGTCAAGTGAATGAGAGCAGAGGCCATTTTATATACATCATGGAAACTAAATCAGTGACTGCAGAATAAATAGTTGATTGTACTGTTCACATGCTATCAGTGAAACATGTACTCTACAACAAAACTTTCCTCGTTTTTATCAAATATATGTATAATCAGGTTGCATCTGTACAGTATGTAAATGCTATGGATACTGTCACTTGCATGCATGACACACAGCCCTTGCTTCCCCAGGAAGGACCCAAAGCTCTGTGCACATTGGGGGCTTGGTGTGCACATGGCATTGGATTTGCTCTGTCCTTCTGTGAAGGCTCTCAGATTTCTATATATTATGAAGCTGTACACTGAAATGAAACTATAGATCAATGTGCAGGAACACATTGTTTTTTTAAAAATAGATTTTAGTATTTCTGTACTAATGAATCAGATTTTTAGATAAGTATAATTTTCTACTCAAGGAGTTTTAGTTGCTACATCTCAATTTAATGCTTGCCAGTGATCAAGCCTGGAAGAAAATGGAAGATATGTCTATTGGTATTTAAAAATAAATGCTGTAATCTAAATAGTCAGTGAAGTATATTTTTTATCCTCCCCTTAAGAGTCTGGCTTTTGTTTTAAATCCAACTATGATTCCTATTTATTTTAATTGAGCCCAGGTCCCTGTGCATACTAAGCATTTACTCTATTACTGAGCTCTGCCCCAGTCTGCATCCATCTTTTGTTAGTACCAGGACTGTGGCTTGAACTCAGGGTTTCAGCCTCTTCCTTATCTTTTTGGCTCAAGGTTGGGACTCTTCCACTTGAGCCACAGCTCCACTTTCTGTGTTTTTGCTGGCTAACTGGAGATAACGAGTCTCTGCTGGGACTGGCTTGAACCGGGATCCTCAAATCTCAGCCTCCTGAGTTGCTAGGATTACAAATATGAGCCACCAGTGCTTCCCATGCAGCTTTAAGAAGTAGTTCAGGGGCTGGGAAGGTGGCTCAGTGGTAGAGCACTTGCCTTACATGCTCAAGGCCCTGGGTTCGATTCCTCAGCACCACGTAAGAAAAAAGCCGGAAGTGGCGCTGTGGCTCAAGTGGTAGAGTGCTAGCCTAGAGCTGAAGAGCTGAGGGACAGCACCCAGGCCCAGAGTTCAGACCCCACGGACCCAAAAAAAAAAAAAAGAAGTAGTTCAGTTAGAGGAGAATTGTTGGCTAAGAATGGACTCGATAGAGTATATCTTTACCACTTTGTGTGCGGAGTAGCTCCTCAGTTACTCTTCTTGTTTTACTGTGAAAGTACCAGAGGAAACGAGATCATGCCCAAAGGATATGTCCTCTGTTAAACTGAAAGTTTTACATAGGGCAGAGAATGGAGCAGCCAGATGGCAGTGGTAATGATATATCATCAGTCATAGCTGGTTTATCCAGTGGCCATCCTTCCATGAGAAAGGAACAGTTAAACCTGGATGAGTTTACAGAATGGTAGGAAATGCTGACTTATATAGTAAACTTTAGAATGTTCAAGAAAGACCAAAAGGACATTAATGGTCTCTCACTTTCATGGATTTGTGTTGTTGAAAATTTTAAGTTTGGACTTCTTTAACAGATTGAGACTTTAAGAACTGCCCTCAGAGCTGTGACTGTAGAAGACATCAAATGCGTGGCTGTAGCAACTTGAATTTCTAGGTATTGTACTCAGCACACTTGGGATGATGCATTTACAGTTCTTGTACATGTGAGAAATAGCCTTATATTTTGTCTGTCTTATTTCAAATAAATATCTTAGGAGATTGAGGCTGTGACTCAGCAGGTGAGCACTTGCCTAGCATGCATTAGACCCTAGGTTTACTGTCAACACAGCAAAACAAAACAATGAATAAATGAGTAAATAAAGCTTCATAATGCTTCACCTTCAAAAGGCCAGTGAGAACTCTATCTTCACTCTCCTTGGCCAACCTTTGCTTTTCTCTTGCTGTTTGTTTCCTTGGACAATGAACCTGGGTCTGGAACTTCCGTGGGGGTAGGGAACCTTTTTACTGCCACAGGCTGTTTGGGTATTTATAGCATCATTTTTAGGCCACACAAAATTACAGATTCAGGCAGCCTGCCTTGGACTGCAGACCAGAGCTGACAAGAAGCTTATGTGTACATCTTATTGTTTACCAAATGGGCTGAATGTTCCCTGTCTGCCTAAGGGAATAGCTGGTCTATTCCTTCCCAGAGATGAAGAAATACACTATCTGGAAAGAAAAAAAAAATTCCTGGTTCCTTGCAAGAAGATTTGATTGCCATTTGCGCCCTGGAGTTGAGTCCTGATCTTTGTAGCTCAGGCTCAAAGCAGTAAAAGCAGGTGGCTGTAAGTGTTTTGTGATATTAGAAAGACAACCACTGGTAAAGTGTGAATGATTTTCATATCAAGGAGAATTTTACAACATACCAACCTGGTTAAAAAAAATAAATTCTGGATACTTTCATCCCCTGTTGTGGAGTAAGTAGCAGGTCATGTTGACATGACGCTGTCTAGCCCAATTAAAAAAAAGAAAAAACCCAGCACATTTCCTTCACAGGTGGAGCCATTATCAAGGCACAGAAGTCTAGGATTTTTCTCCAGTAGTGATAGAAAAGAATATTACATTTTGTGGTCTGTACAGTATGATAAACTAGCAATAAATAAACAACAAAAAGAATATATGAAAGAAGACTATGCTCAACTATCATTAAAGTGTAGAGGATTTTTTTTTTTTTTTGCCAGTCCTGGGGCTTGAACTCAGGGCCAGGACACTATCCCTCAGCTGTTTTGTTCAAGGCTGGTGCTCTACTACTTGAGACACACTTCTACTTCCACCTTTTTTGGTGGCTAATTGGAGATAAGAGTGTCACTGATTTTTCCTGCCTGAGCTGGTTTTGAATTACAGTCCTTGGATCTCAGCCTCCTGAGGAGCTAGGATTATAGGCATGAGTCACCAGCTATTGGATTGTTTTTAGACAGGACACATTTTGCAGTAGTGAATGGGGTAGGTTTTCCTCTTAAGTGTAAAAGAATAAAAGAAGTGCTCTATTAAATTGCCTGCAGCTTTCAGCGACTGTAAATGTGGCTGCAGAAGCATTTCTCTTGCTGGCCTGGGATCTACTCTAAGCCTTGGGCTAGTGCAGATAACAAGGACAGCCACCTGTCTGCCTGCAGCTTTGTAAAGGGGAAAAAAACAACAACAAAAAACAGCACCTCATGGCACTAAATATTCCACAATCAAGTTTGGTAACCTGAAAAAAAAATCAAGTTCTCCTGGATGAACCAACCAATCAATCAAAGAATAAAAAGGATCTCCACCCAGAGAGACTCACTGCAGTGTTACCCCAAAATGAGGGTTGGTTGGAATGGGGAGATTTTGTGGTCCATGAAAACAAAAGCTACAGAACCAAACCTGGGGGGAACAGAGGTAGCCAGAGGCTTGGTGGTCACACGTGGTGTACCCAGGACAAGACACTAGACATACGCTACGTCCTACCATGGCTTGGGGCTGACAGATACAAGTCCAGAGGAAAGCTTCCGCCTTATAGAGTGGTCACAAGGTGCGGGGAGGCAGGTGGCGAGGATTGTGGTGGTCCTCACAGGAGTTCATACTGTTTGAGGTGCATCCGCTGGATGATGTCACGACAGTCGTTGAACACCCTACGGATGTTCTCCGTGTCCACAGCACAGGTGAAGTGTGGGTAGCAGTAGTGTTTGCCATCACCAGTGGCCGTGCTGATTCTCTGCAAAAGAAAGCATCGGTGCTGAGGGTCACTGGCCATGAGAGGAGAACAGCGTAGTGAGACTTTTTGCAAGGGTTGGAATAGCTTGGATCTGGGTCTGGCTGGCCCTGGTCACCCAGGAGCAGCTAGCAGGGTGACTTTCTAGGTTCAGAGCATGTGGCAGGGATCAGACAACCTTGTCCCTGCCATAGCTAGTGTCAGTGAAGCTAGAGAGGCAGCCCAGGCAGCTCAGGACAGCTGTGGATGGGACAGAGCAGGCTGAGATTTTGCAGAAAGCCAACAGGCATCTTACCCAGCATGGTGGACAGAACTTGCTCTCATAACAAAAATGCTTTGTCCTGTTGGCCTGTAGTCATAATCACTAGCAGATGCCACTGAAGAACTGAGAGTTTGGGAGGTTTCTTTTTGGTGCCAGTACTGGGGCTTAACTAAGGGCTTTGTACTTTCACTTGTTTTTTTTCTGCTCAAGGCTGGTACTCTACCAGTTGAGCCACATTTCTACTTCTGGCTTTTTTTTTTTTACTGGTTGATTGTAGGTAAGAGTGTCCCTGGCTGCTGTGCTATGCTGCTGGGTGGTATTGAAGGAAAGTGCCCTGCGATCAACTGTGGGAAATTCAGGGTCAAATATGAGGACGTCCTTGAGCCATAGGCTCACTACATGGGGAACGGTAGAGAGCAGGATATACGGCTTTAAAAAGTGTCCCCCAAAATTCATAGATTGAATCCTAACCCTAGCACCTCAGGATGTGATAGTACTTGGTGGCAGGGCCTTTAAACAACTGACTAGAATTCCTTAAGGTGATCCTAATACAACTGACTGGTGTCCTTGTGAAAAGAGGAGATGAAGGCATAGATTTCCAGGGGAAAGGCCCCGAGGGGGCCTGATAAGAAGGTGCCATCAGCCAAGGGCAGAGGTTTTGGGAGAAGCCAACCCTGCTGGTACTGTGAGAAAGCATAATTCTGTTGGAGACTCTTATCTCAAATAATCACTCAAAAGCCAGAAGTAGAAGTATGGGTCAAGTTGTAGAATGCCAATTTTGAGCAAGAAAGCTAAGGGTACAAGGCCCTGAAGTTCAGCCCCAGTACTGGCACAAAACAAAAACAGTTGTACACTGATGGCCCACATCTGTAATTCTAGCTGCTCAGGAGGCTGAATTCTAGAGAATTAGAGCCAGCCTGGGTAGATAAGTCTCCAAAACTACATCTACAAAATAACCAGCAATTAATTTGTTGTTACTGCTGTTGTTAATAAATCCTTTCTGACGGTGAAAAAAAAAGCAGCAAAAGGCAAGGCTGGAGGTGTGGCTAAAGTGGTGGAGCACCAGTCAAGCAAATGTGAGGCTCTGAGTTCAAAATGCAGTAACAACAATAAAGCAAAAATAAATAAATGCTCGAGGGGGAGGGCAAATGGGAGAAAATGAGGGAGGGGGGTAACACTGTTCCCTAAGAAAGTACTCATTGCTTTATGTAACTGTAACCCCTCTCAACATCATCTTTACAATATAATAAAATAAAAAAAAAACAAGTGAAATAAACGTCAAGTCTCAGGCCTTCTGCATGGTGGGTCACCTGTTATTTGCAGCCCAACTCCCTGAGGCCTCTCTGAAGACATCTCAGATGAGCTTGTAACCAGAAGACTCACAATGCTAACTGTCAAGGCCTATGTGTCAACCTTAGGATGCCTGTGAGGGAGGACAGCCCATCCCTTGGCTTTGTAGGAGCTTCATTTGGTGAAGAAGACCTTTTTTGGAGATTGGCAGGATCTTGGGGACTGAGTATAAGAGATGGCCCACAAATTAACTGGGGCAGGATAAAGGCTAGCCATCCCAGCCTTCTCCATTACAAACCCCAGACGTTCTCTCCTGCAAGCCAGGTAAGACTGGCCCACCTGCTAGGTGTCCATGATCTTCCTCAGTGGACTGTCGGACCAACGGAAGTCACCTCTGACCACCTTGAGGCCTGCAACTGTTTGTCTATGTATACCTTTCTCACTTCTTGACTCCATTTCTCTCTATTTAACCTAAGGCACACACATGTCTGTTTCCCAAAAATGGCTGAAGATGTACTAATGTGCTGTCTTTCTGTGGCTAGTGTAATCTTTCTCTGCCCTTCCCCATGTCAGTTGGCATATCTGGGTGAGTGGCTGGACCTGACATGTGGCACTCTTGGGGTTTGGGCCTGTTGCCTAAGAACCTGGTTTCATGACCACCTAGTTCTCCCACTCCTGGCTCTCTGGTTCTAAGTTATTTCTGCCTGTGAAGATGGTTCCTGCTTCCCCCTGTGGGAGGAAGTGGTCTTGTCTGACACCAACCCTTGGTGGTAAGTCCCCAAATTGTGCAGAGACTGTTTGGTTCCCTTGTCAGAATGCACTTAGTAAAAGGAGATCTCTTCACAGTTCAAACTCAGCCTCTCCCTCAGAAAAAAAGTTTCACACTTTCAGCACCCTTTTCATTGTCTAGATTTCTTTAAGTACTAAGGGTGCTCTTACTTTTCCTTCCTTCCTTCCTTCTTTCCTTATTTCCTTCCTTCCTTCCTCTTTCTTTTTCTCCCTCCCTCCCTTTCTCTTTCCCTTTTTCTTTCTTCTCTCTTTTTCTTTCTCCCTCTCTTTCTTTCATTCATTCTTTCTTCATCCCTCCTTCCTTTTTTTTTCTCTTTGTGCTGGTACTGGAGCTTGATCTCAAGGTCTGGGTACTGTTCCTGAACTTTTCCAGTTCAAGACTAGTGCTCTATCACTTCAGCTACCCTTTACTTAATGGCCTTTTGTTGGTTAATTAGAGATAAGAGTTTTACACAGTTTCCTGCCTGGCCTGCCCAGGCTGGCTTTGAATTGCATTCCTCAGATCTCAGCCTCCTGAGTAGCTAGGATAAAAGGAAAGAGCCACCGGTGCCTGGCCCAAAGGTGCTGTTTCAAGCAGTAGTAACTCCTGTTCAGATGAACAGAGAAACCTGAGTTGTTCAGCCTGCTGGGCTGCGCTGTGTGTCTGGCATTTACCAGTTCCAAATGCCAACTCTGCAGAGCTCTTAACACCACAGGTAAATTTTACCATTCAATATGAAAATTCAGCTATCATGCCTTTATTTCCCCTGATTCACAAGGTTCATACAAGCCAGGTTTGAGACTCTGACAGGGAAAAAAATTTTGTCCAAGTTTGAATACCCATTTATTTTTGTTTGTTTGTTCTGGTACTCAGGTCTTAGGCACTGTCCCTTAAATTTTCTTTTTGCTCGAGGCTGGCACTCTACTACTTGAGCCACAGCTCCACTTCTACCTCTTGGGTGTTAATTGGAGATAAGAGTCTCACAAACTTTCCTGCCAGGGCTAGCTTGACTCTCAGATCTCAGCTTCCTAAGTGGCTAGGATTATAGGCCTGACCCACTGGTACCTGGCTCTGCCCACTGATTTTGGAGAGGGTATGGATTTCAGTTCCAATCTTCATCTAAATGGCTGACATTTACATGCAGAACTAGCATCTCATTAGAAGAAAGCATTATTTTTATATATTTTATGGCCTTACAAGAAGTAAAAACAAATCCTACTACTATAAACTACATTGCCTTATGAGAACTTTCCACTATGCATGAAATGGAAAAGGCCTGAGAATTTGGCAGCAGAGAAACTGGCTGGCCTGTCTTTAACATATTCAGTTGGGGCTTTCTCTGTGCTGCCCTTCACTGCTTAGGACTCTTGTTCTCTGGGGACTGATGACCTAGGGTCTAGCACGTGCTGGCCACACACTCTACCACCTGAGCTGCACTGCCAACACTTTTTGTATTTTGTTTTGAGCTGGGGGTTTTATTAACTTGGCCCCAGATGGCTCTTCCCCAGTGATCTTCCTCACCTCCTCTCCCAAGTAGCTGAGATTACAAGTGTGTACCTCAATGCTCAATAGGGTTTTCTTTCTGATTATAATTGCTTCCTAAGTCACTATAGGATTTCACCTCTATGCCCTTCCCTAACTGTTGGGTTTAAGAGGGAATCTACTTCAAGGGCATGGTGGAATAAAGGACAGATGGAGGCCAGACAGGAGGGTAGTGTTGTTGTTGTTATAATTGTAGGAGGTATTTGGGGGCCTGAACTCAGTGCTTGGGCACTGACTGTTAGGTTTTTCACTCAGGACTAGTTCTCTGCCACTTGAATCTCAGTTCTTCTGGCTTTTTAAAATGATTAACTAGAGGGGATAACAATGCTTGACAAAAATGTACTTATTACTTTATTGATGTAAACTGTAAACTCTCTGTATAGCATCTTTACAAAAAAATAAAAATTTAAAAAAATGGTTAACTAGAGAATCTTATGGACTTTGCTGCCCAGGCTGGCTTTAAACTGTGATCCTCAGATCTCAGCCTCCTAGGCAGCTAGGATTACAGGCATGAGCCACCAAGGCCTGGCTAGGAGGACCTTATCCCATGCCTTGGGCTGTAACTTTTTCACTTGTCATAAGCTAATCTTCCTTCAGTACTCCAAAGGCACTTGGAATTCTACCAGGAACAAGCTCCTGGGAATATGTTGGCATTTACTAATTTTAACTTAGCACAAACTTCAAATCCACCTTTAATCTATCAGTTATTCAAAAGCAAAAAAAGGCGCAGATGTGTAATCTTAGCACATAGGAAGCAGAGGCAGGAGGTTGGTAAGCCCAAGATCAGCTCTGGCTGACCTTGTCTCAAAAACCTAAGAGCTGGGGATGTAGCTCAGTGGTAAATCTTTTGCCTAGCATGTGCAAGACTTGGGTTCTACCCTCAGAGCTGAAACAAAACAAAACTGTGATCTGGGTACTGGTGGCTCATGCCTGTGATCCTAGTTAGTCCTCAGGAGGGTGAGAACTGAGGATTCTGGTTCAAAGCTAGCCTGGGTAGAAAAGTGTGAGATTCTTTATCTCCAATCAATTACCAAAAAAGCTGGAAGCAGCTAGCCACCAGTGGCTCATGCCTGTAATCCTAGCTATTCAGGAGGCTGAGATCTGAGGATCATGGTTCAAAGGCAGCCAGGCAGGAAAGGTCGTGAGACTCTTATCTCCAATAAACCACTCAGAAAACTGGAAGTGGCGCTGTGGCTCAAGTGGTAGAGCACTAGCCTTGAGCTGAAGAGCTGAGGGACAATGCCCAGGCCCAGAGTCCCAGATTTCAAGCCCCATGACTGACCAAAAAGAAAAAAAAAGAAGGGCTGGGAAGTTGCCTCAGTGGTAGAGTGCTTGCTTCACATGCATGAGGCCCTGGGTTCGATTCCTCAGCACCACATAAGCAAAAACAAAAAAGCCGGAAGTGGCGCTGTGGCTCAAGTGGTAGAGTGCTAGCCTTGAGCTGAAGAGCTGAGGGACAGCACCCAGGCCCATAGTTTAGGCCCCATGACCGGACCCAAAAAAAAAAAAGCTGGAAGCAGAGCTGTGGTTCAAGTGATACAGTGCCAGCCTTGAGCAAAAAAGTTACGGGACACCACCCAGATCCTGAGTTCAAGCCCCAGTACTGGCATGTGGACACACACACACACACATACAAAGTGAAAAATGTGTAAGGTAATAAAGCACATAAAGCAAATGTGCCCCAATTTTAGCAATTTGTTAATTTGGGCAAAGAAGTATATGAATATTTTGAATCACAATTCTTTAATGTTTTATGTAAATGTAACATGCACAAAATAAAAAGTTGGAAAAAAGGAGAAATGTCAGAAACACAGCACTCACACTTTGTTACTCTTCTCCAAAGTGTGAGTGCTGTGTTTCCAACTCTGCTGAAGGACTTTATTCTTTCCAGAAAATACAGTGAAGATGTCTAGCCCTTTTGAGTGCTGGTTCCTCAGGTGCCACCTTTGGAAGCCGTCCAAGCCTGACTCTCTGAATATTGGCATCTCAGCCAGGATATGAAAGTCATTCCTTCTTTTATAGACCATTCTTTTAGACAGGAGTCAGTGATCATGGAAAGGTGAATAATAGGAAAATTTACAGAACAATGGAACTCTAAAGTAGCAGGAAAAGAAAAGTTAACAAAATTGCTTACCAAGAACAGATCTCGGATGAAGAACTTAGCTCTTGTAACTTTGGGGTCTTCACCTGCATCCGGTGTGGCTGGAGAAATTAAAAATGAAATTTTATTCAGCTGACATAAAGCAAAGATACTACAGCATAGGAACAAAGAAGGAATTACCAGCTGGGCTGCTGTATGTTCACAGCATTATGGCAAGGCAAACATGAAAATCAAATTTTCATTTCCTGATCCTCCCAAATGATTTTAATACTTACAGCTCTGAAAAATGGTTCTTTGGTAATGTTATGGGGACTGAATGTGTATATCCTCCCCAAATTCTTGTCTTACTTGTTTTTGGTACAATGGTATTACCAAGTGAGAACTTTGGAAGGGTGTCTAGGTAATAGGGACTCTGCCCTCATGATTTTTTTTTGGGGGGGGGGTCGGTCTTGGCGCTTGAACTCTGGGCCTAGGTGCTGTTCCTCAGCTCTTCAGCTCAAGGCTAGCGCTCTACTACTTGAGCCATAGCACTACTTCCAGCCTTTTCAGTTTATATGGTGCTGAGGAATCAAACCCAGGGCCTCGTGCATGCGAGGCAAGCACTCTACCACTGAGCCACCTTCCCAGCCTGACTCTGCCCTCATGAATGGAATTATTGTCTTGTAGTAGAGACATCTTCCATGTGCCCTCATGAATGGAACTGTTGTCTTGTAGTAGAGACAGCTTCCATGTGAGACAGATATAAAGCAGACACCAAGAATGCTGGTACTGCTGGGTGCTGGAGGCTCACACCTGTAATCCTAGCTATTCAGGAGGTTGAGGACCGTGGTTCAAAGCCAGCTTGGGCAAGAAAGTCTGTGAGACATTTATCTCTAATTCATCACTAGAAAACTGGAAGTGGAGCTGTGGCTCAACGTGGTAGAGCACTAGCCTTGAGTGAAAGAGCTCAGGGATAGTGTCTAGGCCCTGAGTTAAAAAACAAAACAAGTAAAACAGAAAAGGAAAAAAAAAAAAGAATGCGGGCACCTTCCTCTTAGACTTCTTAGCCTCTATAACTGAAAGTAAAACTTCTGTTGTGTACAAATTACCCAGTCTAATGTATTCTGTTATAGCTACATACATGGACTAAGATAGCTTAGGGGCAGGTAACTTCTGCTCAAGGAGAATGTAAGCCACTTATTGAATGTTGACCAAATGGAGCTTTGTGGCTATCAGCTTCCTGGTCTCCTGTGATCATCATGAGGCTGTGATTTTTCTGATGTCCATCTTTTGTCAGCCTCTCTCTTAGGAATAGTCTTTTTCCACACAGGCCTTTGGTGTAGGAGAAAGTCAATAGCAGCAGACCACTCTGGCTGTCAGCCCAAGTTTTTTGCTGGGATTTTGGAGGTTGGGGGCTTGCAATCTTTTCTGTTTGCAGAGACCTGAATGAGAACTGGGCATTCACTGGCTTTCTTGAGGAATAACTTACTCATGCTAAACTAAACAATTGGATGAGGTTTGACAAATGACCTGTGAAATGATCACCTATGATCAAAATCATGATGTACCCAACACTTCTGAAGGTGTCCCGGGCCCTTCTGCAGCGCCGCCTCCACAGTCTCCTATTCGACTGCAGGCAACACTGGCATGTCCTCTGCTGCTCTGGATCCATGTGCATTTTCTAGATGTGAGGCGAATACACCCATGTGACCCATGGCCTTGCACCCCTTCATTCTGTCATCACTGTAAGTTCTGTCCATGTTTGCTTGCTAAGTCAGAACTGAGAACCATGGAATTGGATGGTCAAGGCTACCCCCAGGTGCCAACCATGCCAGGAAGAGGTGGGTGTACAGAGTGATAGCACACGTGGTACCCATGTGGACATTAGCCACTGGGCCTTGCCAGGTGGTCAGCAACTTGGGTCCCTTCAGCTACTCTTTGATCTTCCCTGGCTTGGCAGCTCAGCCTCGACGCTGCTGGGGGTAAGCGTAAGTGGGGTATGCTTATGTTTCAGAACGATAGCAGTGACACAAGTTCAGAGAATGTTTTAGAAAGGTGAGTAACCAGGTAGAAAGCTGCAGCAGTCACTGAGATGAGGTTCAGGCCCAAGGCTGTGAGAGTAATAAAGGCAGATGCTGGGGAAGGGGATGTCTGTGGTGGTGCCACAGAACTCAGCTTCTGCCTGGCAATGAGGTGGGGTGGGGGTGGGAGGTGGTTCTAGGGAGAGGGAAAGGTTCAGCCTGCTGGCAAGACAATGGTGCCAGTCTCAGCTCTGTGACAAAAGCCACTGTGCTGTGACAATTTCCTGAGTCTGGGATTCAGTCTTGACTCGGCCAGAGTCTCAGCACATGTTATTACCCAGAACTCCAGGTAGGAGCTGAGCTCAGACAGGGCCTGCACAGAAGTATGTGCTCACCAGGACCAACGCTGCCTGGTGATGACAGGGGCTGCTGGCATTTTATGACAGAGAGGATCTGTGAGCTGGGTGCTGGTGGCTCACACCCGTAATCCTAGCTCCTTAGGAGGCTGAGATATGAGGACTGAGGTTCAAAGCAAGTGTTGTCAGAAAAGTCCATGAGACGCTTATCTCCTATAAACTACCCCACCCACCCCCCACAAAAGCCAAATAGCCAAAAGTGGAGCTCTGGCTCAAGTGGTAGAGTGCTAGCCTTGAGCAAAAAAGCCCAGGGCCAGCACCCAAGCCCCAGGACTAACCTAAAAAAAGAAAGAAAGAGAAGAGAAAAGAGAAGAGAGTCTGTGACAACAAAGCCAGAGCTGGATCCCAGGCCCATTCCTAGTGGCTACTCCTTCTCACAAGGAACCATGTGCCACTAGGAATTTGTGGAAAGAATCAGCTTGGCTCAGGATTGACTTGGAATTCACTTACGTAGAGACCCACCATGATGGAGAAGAGAAACTTGAACATAAGGAGCAAGAAAGCAGGAAAGTTCATGATACTCCAATTAACCAGCAATAAAAAGAAAGAAAGAAAGAAAAAAAAATGGAGCTCTGGCTCAAGTGGTAGAGTGCTGGCCTGAGTGGACCAGCTAAGGGATAGTGCCCAGGATCTACGTTCAAGCCCCAGGACCAGCACAAAACAAACACAAAAAACACTAGCACATGAAGAATACTGCATAAGTTTCCCTCAGGCTGTGTGCATGAATAAGGTGTACAGGAAACATAAGTGAGGTTTGTGTTTAGACTTGGTTCCCATCCTCCAGATAACTTACTCCAAAATTAAAAATCTGAAATCTGTCCCCACATTTTTTTTTGGGTCCAGTCGTGGGGCCTGAACTCTGGGCCTTGGCGCTGTCCCTCAGCTCTTCAGCTCAAGGCTAGTACTCTACCACTTGAGCCACAGCGCCACTTCCGGCTTTTTTCTTTTTTCTAATGTGGTGCTGAGGAATCGAACCCAGGGCCTCATGCATGCAAGGCAAGTGCTCTACCACTGAGCCACCTTCCCAGCCCCGTCCCCACGTTTTTATTAAGGGACACAAATCTTCCCCCAAATCCTTGCAGATGGAGTCACAGAAGAGAGTACTGACCTAAATTTGTGGAATTTCTCAGACTCATCAGACATGTTTGAATAACAGTATCAGGACTACTGAGAAACAACAATCTATTCCTCAATTGTGAGACCTGTTTTTTAAAAATCTTACCATCTTCAGGAACAGTGTAATTTGCATACTCCGGGAAATAGTCTTCAATTTTTGACTTCCCTGCCAAGACTTTTTCTGCCAGCATATCCTGTTTGTTCAAGAACAAGATGATAGATATGGTCCGTAACCACCTAGAAAGGAAAAAAATGGACACATAGATTTCACTTACACTAGTACACACTGTGTTGGAAAAGTATCTAACACTAAGAATATTTGGTTAAAAGGGAACAATTGGCTTAGTTCAGGGGTATACAGAGTTTGTGGAGTGCTAGGCCTGATTTTGATCCCTAGGTCCACCTAAGGGAGGGGGAAGGTGGAGTAAGGGGAACACTTTGGAACAATCTGGAAACATACAGGAATCAAAATTGTTCAATATTCTTAATTACAAATAGTCCTTTAAAAAACTTTTCTATAACTTTATTATTTGCTGTGTGTGCGTGTGTGTATGTGTGTGTGCATGTGCTGGTAGTGGAGGTTGAACTCAGGGTTTCATGCTCTCATTTGGCTTTTTTTGCTCTACTAACTGAACTATAGCTCCACTTGTGACTTTTTGCTAATTGGAGATTAGAGTCTGCTGTATTTTCCTGCCCAGGCTGGCTTCAAATTGCAATCCTAAAATTTCAGTCTTCAGAGTAGCTGGGATTACAGGTGTGAATTATGGACTCTCAGTTTGTTAAATATTTCCTTCCTTCCTTCCTTTCTTCCTTTTCTGCTAGGGTTTGAACTCCAGGTCTTGTGATTTTCTACCACTTGAACCATACTTCCAGCACTGCCTTTTGCTGATTGTTTTGGAGATGGAGTCAAGTAACCTTTTGCTGGTTAATTGGAGTTAAGGGTGTCTTGGATTTGTCTGTCTCGTGTGGCTTTGAACCACAATCCTCAGATCTCAGCTTCCTGAGCCATTGGTGCCCAGATTGTTTTATTGATATGATTGTCTTATTGTGTTGTCCAGGCTTTCTTTGAACAACCATCTACCCAATCTCAGCCTCCCAAGGAGCTAGGACTTATAGGTATGAGCCACCATGCCCAGCTTAAAACAGAATGTAAATACAGTATAAATTATAATGTAAAATGACTTTTCCATAATCTTAACTTATAGAAAAATACATAAAAATCAAATGTAATTACAGAGACAATTATGATTATAGCTTTTATGTTCCTATGTGTAAGGTTTTTATTTTTATTTTTTGGTTCTTACAAATATTTATAAAAGTAAAAAAATAAGATCTTTTTTTGAGGGGTGTTCGCATGTACATATGTGTGTGTGTGGTTCTGAGGATCAAGTCTAGGGCCTTGTTTATACCAGGCAAGTGCTGTATCACTGAGTTACAAATGTCCCTGTATGACTAAGTGTATATGCATATGTGTGTGAGTGCATGTATGTACTATTTATAATGATTTCAAAGCATTCTTCCAGAGTCCAGGTGTTTCCTGACCTTCTTTCTCACTCCCTCTTTTTATTGTTATTATTAAGGAGTTGTACAGAGAGGTCATAATTCAATAAGTCAGGTTATGAGTACAGTACTTCTTGGGCAATGTTACCTCTTCCTTTGCTATTTCCCATTCTCCCTCCTGTCCCTATCCACAAGTTACACAGTTCATTTTTTACATAGTGTATATTGAATATAAAACTGCATTTGCTCACCTCTCCTCCCTCACTTCCTGTGCTCCTACTAACTGTCTTCACACCCTAACATTTGTAGTTCAATACTTGGTAGAGAAGTGCTTTCCTAGTAATACAGACCTTTTGCAAGGTCAGTTTCTATTTTCTTTCTTCCTTGCTGGATTTCTTCCTAAACCATTCAGAAGAGACTCTGGTTTAAACTATATAAGTATGCATTGGTATGTTTGCTGGCCATTCCTTTCTGACAACCACTTCTGACACTTGGCTATACTAAATGGTGTCAAATAGACAATGTCAGACATGTGGCTTTTGGGTGAGAAGAATCTTAAAGTCCACCTAGCTCTGAGTGAATGTTCTAAACTGGATTCTAAAATTTTGAAAGTAAACAAGCTGGGTCTGGTAGTACAGACTCACAATCCCAGTGACTCAGAAGGCCGAGGCAGGAAGACTGTAGTTCAAGGCCAGCCTGGATAACACATGAGATAATGGTGTCAAAAAAAGGAGCTGGGAACCTTAGCTCTCGAGAAGCTAAGATCTGAGAACTGAAGTTCAAAGGCAGCTAAGGCAAACAAATCTAAGAGACTCTTATTCCAATTAAATAGCAAAAAGTTGGATGTGGAGGTGTGGCTCAAATGGTAAAGTGCCAGCCTTGAGCATTAAAGCAAGAATTTGAGGTACTAAGTTCAAGCCCCAGCAATGGTAGGGAAAAACAAAAACAACAACAAAAAAACCCCCAACATACCACTCCAGTTTTTTTTTTTTTTTGGGTCCGGTTGTGGGGCCTGAACTCTGGGCCTGGGCGCTGTCCCTCAGCTCTTCAGCTCAAGGCTAGCGCTCTACCACTTGAGCCACAGCGCCACTTCTGGCTTTTTCTTTTTTGCTTATGTGGTGCTGAGGAATCGAACCCAGGGCCTCATGCATGCAAGGCAAGCGCTCTACCACTGAGCCACCTTCCCAGCCCCAGTTTTTAACTCCAGATATAATCTCAGGCTTTTATAACAGATTTACATTTTCTTGACAAAGCATAGAGCTTCCTTAAAAAAAAAATCCTCATTTGAAGTATGCCTGTGCTTGAAACCGTTTAGTATTATTAGTTACTACAGAGTATATTACTTGAAACTTGTTTTTTGAGACAAGAGGCCCTACTGGCCATGAACTTGCAATCCTCTTCCCTCAGCTTTGAGCGTGTTAGGATTACTCAAAAAATATTTTAAAATAAAAAGCAGATCTTCAATGTTCTGAGTTTAATTAATTAATTAACTTTTGCCAGTACTGAGGCCTGAATCCAGAACCTTGTGCTCTTTGCTTTAATTTTTCTGCTTACAGCTGGTGCTCTATCACTTGAGCTTTGACTCCACTTCCTATTTTATTTTATACTTTTACTAGGTTTTGAACTCAGAGTTTTGCACCTGTTAAGCAGGTATGCTTCCACTTGAGCTGCACCCCCTCCCATCCCTCTGATTTTTTTTTTGAGGGTCTTAGGGCTTGAACTCAGAGCCTGGGCACTGTCCCTGAGCATTAAAAAAATATATATATATGATTCTATTATTATTGTTAAGGTATTACACAGAGTGTCCCTGAGCTTTTATGCTCAAGGCTAGTGCTCTACCACAGTTCCTCTTCTGCTTACAACAGAAGATGGTTCATTGGAGATAGGAGTCTCATAGACCTTTTTGAATTGGGCTAGTTTTGAGAAACAGTCCTCAGATCTCAGCTTCCTTTTTTAAAAAAAGAAGACCTATGATCCAGTGGTGAGTCTAAGTTTATTGTTTTTATAACCTGTTGTTCCAGATGCTTTCAAAAAGGTCCAGCGATTCTCTCAGTCTGTTGGTGTTGTTGTCTTCCCGGATAACCATGTTGTAGCTACTGCAGGCGGCCACATAAATGATCGCGGTGACATCTTGGGGGCGGGAAGGGGAGAAAGAAGGAAGCACTGTAGTTGGACAATGGTAGTCACTGTGGGGTTAGGGTCAAGGACAAACTCAATAGCTATTCAGATCCAGGACTTTGTCACTTCACTCAGTGATATAAGAATGACTTGACCACAGCTGTGTATAACTGGCTGCTGCTCCACACATCTTTGGTGTACCCCAAAGATGAATGTAAGTTTGGGATGCTTAAGTGCTTTACTTAGGAGAGCCCCATTTAAGGAAAGAGCACCTCATCCATCGAATGCTACATTTCTCAAACTAGTTATACTAGAGAGCATCTGACTCCAAAGCAGTTAGATCTAGAGCAGTGGTGAGTCAAGAGCCCAGTGCCCCGGCGCCTTGAGAGTGTGACAATCACCATTGAAGCACTGAATCCACTTTCTTCTCTCATCCCTCTGGCCACCAACATCGAACATGCTGTGGAAGAACAACAGGAAGAGCACTGGTTATTTAGGAAAGCATAGGGACTATTTTTTTTTTTTGGTTCCAGTTCTGGGGCTTGAACTCAGGGCCTAGGTATTGTCCCTGAGATTTTGTGCTCAAGGCTGGCACTCTATCACTTGAGCCATAGATCCACTTTTAGCTGTGTATTTGGGTTGTCTTTGAACCTTGATGTTTAGGTGTTAGCCTCCTAACAGCTAGGATGACAGGTGTGAGCCAACGATGCCCAGAAGGGCACCATGTTTTACTTTTCTCCTCTGCTATCAGAATGTTCAGCAGCACATCACGCCACCTGGGTACCATCAGTCCTGTGTGGTTTCAGCCTCCCGGTAAGGCACTTCAAGTTCTCCCCTCTTATCTACAGCATGGCTGTAGAGGCTTAAGATCAGGCAGAGGGCAGGTGGCTCAGTATTCCAGTGACACATAGTAGTTGCTTAATGCAGAGGTTTCTAGTTTACATGTCTTACTCAGACATCTAAACCTCTCCTAGCACACGTCAAGTCTACTTCAAGGGCTGTTGTGGTGACTTGTCTCAGCTCTTAGGCCACTCTCTTGCTTTCTGGATAGTGAGAGAATCTCCTTTCTCATCTTGCTACATCCACAGCCCCTCTGTTAGCAGATCACTCTCCTCAGAGATCTGCAGTGTGATGAGCTACACTGACGACTCATTCTTGACCACTGCCAAGCCCCAAGCTGTGTGCCTACCCCAGTTTTCTCTGCCATACCTTGCAGTTCACCAGGCCTGGCCCATCTACTGGCCTGTCTGTGCAGTACACTCCTTTACATGAGCCATGCTTCCCTGTAGGAGATTCTTTTTCTACCTGCCCCATTTCCAACTTTCCCAGGAGGCTGTAGCTCTGAGACCTCTCTTCCTTAAACCTGAAAAGACAACCACATAGCCATGCCAAGGACCCCAGATTATAATCTGCATGCTTAACCTTAGCACATGCAGGGCATGCCCAGTTCTGGAGAAGTTCATTTAGAAACAAAAGCTCTCCTTCTTGTCAGGCACCCGTGGTTCATACCTGTAATACTAGCTACTCAGCAGATTGAGATTTGAGGATGGAAGGTGTTTGAGTTTTATCTCCAATTGATCACCAAAAAGTCAGAAGTGGAGCTATGGCTCAAGTGGTAGAGGGCCAGCCTTGAGTGAAAAACTTAAGGGACAGCACTCAGAACCTAAGTTCAGCCCCAGTACCAATATGTGTGTGTGTGCACGCACACATGCACAAAGAGCCATTATCATCATCAACAATAGTAAATCTCAAATGCTATTTCTGTGCAAAACTTCACTGTGAATGATCCCCTATTCCACGTCATGACAGCTTGGTGGCGCACTGTGCAGGTCTCATGACAAGTATGAACCTAGCACAGTTTTATCCAGGCTATACACCCTGATAGTAGCATTATTCTGGGCTCTAAAGAGACCCAGATGTAGTGCACATCACCTGTGCACCGAGAGACTGCTGGACCACACAGAACACAGAGCTCCAGATCTAAGGGATTCCCTCCATCTATTTGTGAAGTCAAACATACATCAGACATGCTGAGAGTAACTTGGGAAAGGACAAGGCAGGGTGGCATCAGGTCTGGGGGTGCACAGTAGATGATGGAGAAATTCCAGGAGTCACTGTGGGCTTGGATTTGAAAGGCACTTTGACAAATCTGTAGGGTTTGCTTGGCTTTCACAGCATTTGGGACTCAGAGAAAAGGAACAGCAAAAGCACTGTGGCAGAAGAGCCTGGTGAAATCTGAACACAGACATAGTCCAACCTTGGTGAGGCAGGTAGCAGGTAGAGGGGAGAAGCCTGGGTTACCTGGTAAAGGCTATTTTTTTTTAAAATAAAGGATCAGCAATAGCCCTTACATCCTTTTCTGTACAGATAACAGGATACTAGGCATATGGTGCTTCGAGAAGCTTCATTTTGTGACAGTGAGGAAGACTGGAGATGGGTAAGGCAGAAGAGGGAGAAGAGCCAGCCCCTGCTGCTTTGGTCAGGGTGGAAAGTCAGTGGGACTGGAGTCTTAGCCTTAGTGCTGAAAGGAACGAAAGATTTTGTGGAGAGAGAATTGACTTTTTGTCACAGGGAGAAAACTAAAGAAAAGGGGCTGGGAAGATGGCTCAGTGGTAGAGCGCTTGCCTTGCATGCCTGAGGCCCTGGGTTCGATTCCTCAGCACCACATAAGCAAAATGAAAAAAGCCAGAAGTGGCGCTGTGGCTCAAGTGGTAGAGCACTAGCCTTGAGCTGAAGAGCTGAGGGACAGCGCCCAGGCCCAGAGTTCAGGCCCCACGACCGGACCCAAAAAAACAAACAAACAAACAAAAAACTAAAGAAAATAAGCTCATTGAGTGGCTGTGTGTGGACAGCCTGAGGATCCTACTGGTGACAAGTTGCTATTTGCCTGGCACTGGTGGCTTGTGCCTGTAATCTTAGCTCCTCAGGACGCTGAGATCTGAGGATCAAGATTTGAAGCCAGCCTAGGCAGAAAAGGCTGTGAGACTTTTGTCTCCAATTAACATGGAAAAAAAAAAGAAAGCTAGACATGGCTGTAAGGTTCAACTGGTAGAGTGTCAGCCTTGAGGGAAGCAAGATAGGCTCCGAGTTCAATCCTTAGTACTGGGATGCACACACACACACACACACACACACACACACACACACATGCACGCACGCACGCACACACGCACGCACGCACACGCACACACGTTGCTATTTTCATCTCTCAAACTCCTGACTTAATAATAAGGGCCAAGGGCAGATTAGGTAGGGGGAAAAGAATTTTCCTTTTAGGCTTTAGCCTTTCCTTTAGCAAGTGGTAACAAGAACACTGAACCCTTGCTGGAATCAAAACCGTACAGCAGAAAGAGTCGGGCTTCCCATTCCTTGGCTGGCCCTTCTCCACCCCAGCTCCTAGAGCTTCCCATTCCACAGCCCACCCTGCACTCCCAGCTGGGTCCCTGTCACAGCCGTGCTATTATCTATATACTCACTGGAAGTTCACTTTATCCACCTGGAATCGAGTCTCAAAAATTCCTGACGTCAGCACTCTGCATCTAAGGAGGTCCTGGAAGCAAGAAGACAAAAGCAAGCAGAGCCTTGGAGTAACTACAGTAACTGAAATTTCATAGGACACTTCTCTTATAAAGAACAAAGTAAAGCAGTAACAACGAAAAACTCCGACAATAAAACTGCTTTATTCTCCAAGAATGCCTCTTTACAACTAATGGCACAAGTTAGTCCTTAAAGAATGATTAACTGCTAGACACGGGTGGCTCACATCTGTAATCCTAGCTACTCAGGTAGTTGAGATCTGAGGATCCAGTTTCAAAGCAGCCTGGGCAGGAAAGTCCATGGGACTCTTATTTCCAATTAACCATCAAAAAGCCACAAATGAGGTGTGGTTCAAGTGACAGAATGCCAGTCTTGAGCAAAAAAGCTAAGAACTGTGCGAAGGCCCTGAGTTCAATCCCAAGTGTCACACACACACACACAATCTTATTTCCCTTCTGACTTTTGAAAAGTGACTCACACACACATGCATCTCCCATCTTGCTGGCTTCTGTGCACCTGACAACCAAACCCTAGTGCTTAGTGCTCTGAGGTAAGCATCTCTGCCTACTCTGGAGGACACAGTTTGAGTGAAGCATTTATAACTCATGGATCCTCTGGCTGGATGTGACTTGATTTCAGATTTGCTCTCTTCCCTGCTTTAGTTCTATTATCTCAGATCAAAGTGTCATGGCCCTGAGAGAAGAAGAACTAGAAAGCCATATATGTTCACCAAGTTGACATCACTGATATCCTGTGAAGATATCAGGCTTGTTTTCTTACTGCCAGATCTTTTATGTTGATGTTACCACAATAATTCTAGAAGTTGCGAGGTCTTACCATTTCAGCAGAATGAGAAGTGTTTAGAATAGCCTGGACAGGTTATGAAGAATACGAAGCCCAGACACTGTCAAATTACTTTTGAGGGGAGGAAGAGAATGGTAGACCAAGAAGACATGGCCTCCAGGGGAGGTAAATGCTAAGGGAATTTGGAGGGTTGCTTTGAATGGAGACCCTATTTTCCTTGAGGTTTACTAGCTCTAGAAAGCACACAGGGCTCCTGAATTGAGCTCCCAAGGGCTTTCCAGTCTTTAAAGATAGCTGAAGGCTGGAGGGGAATGAAAAGTCCCTTAGTGCTTTTTTAAATGTACACATGGTTTCCTTTTCAATCCCACTCTGGCCACTCTGGCACACCCTGGAGAATGTTCTGTGGTATGAGACCCAGCCCTAGGGCTCTAAGCAGAACAAACCCAGTGTACAAGGCAGGTGGGGCCCAGTTTAAGAGGGGCTGGGACATGGCTTTGCTGCTGATGGCCCAGGAAGCCCAGTCACCTGATGCTTTTCTGCACTGGCATGTTAGAGTTCTACTAGGTTCTAGAGCACCAAATTGGGACACAAGGCTCAGGATTTGGTGTCACATGTAAGGGCAGCCCCACGAGGTGCAAGCAGTCATATTTAGGGGAATGTTTTCCTTCACTCTGTGTGTGTGTGTGTGTGTGTATGTGTACAGGTACTAGAGCTTGAACTCAGAGTCTGGACGCTATCCTTTAATTTTTTTGTTCAAGGCTGGTTCACTACCACTTCAGCTACCACTCTACTTCCAGCCTTTTGGTGGTTAATTTAACATAAGAATGCCATGAACTCTCCTGCTCAGGCTGGCTTCGAACCTTAATCCTCAATCCTCAGAGCTCGGTCTCCTGAGTAGCTACAATTTTACAGGTGGGAGCCAACAGATGATTATCTATTTCCGATAATCCCTGAGTGGTGGTAGAAATCAGTCTGAGAAGCTTAAAAATGGTAGTGGTGAGTGTGAATCACGTACCTGGTCTGTGGGTGTGTAATCCACCAGGCTGACACTGTCAATTCTCTCCAGGAAGCTGCAAAGAAAGGCAGATATGTTCAGAACCATCTCTGCCCACCCTCCCCTGGGGTTGAGTTATAACAACAGGAGTGCAGGGAGGACAAGGCACAGGCCAGGAGCCGGGGCAGCTTCTGCTCTCCCTCCGGAGTGTGGACCTGTGCAGAGAACACAGCCTTCTGACAGAAGGCGAAACCTGCATTTGGTTTGGCTTTTTATGTTCATTTCTGTCTTCTTCCTTCCTGTTTATCCTGTAAGATTGAGGGTGGCAGATACTTGGAAACAAGGAGGGACATGGAGCCTTACTTTAAGGCCAAACTGTAGAAGATTTTGCAATGTAAGTTAAAAAAGAAGTTAGGCCCCAATGGCTCAAGCTTGTAATCCTAGCTACTTGGGAAGCAGAGATCAGGGGATTGCAGTTAAGAGGTGAGGGCAAGCATATAGTTCCTTTAGAGCCATCTCAGTCAATGGCTACATGAAGTTGCCCAGGCCTGTTATTCCAGATACAAAGGAAACACAATGGCTAGACACACTGGTGTGAGCCTGTCATCCCCAGCAACGCAGGGAAGCACAAGTAGGAGGTCACAGCCTAGGCTGGGCTGGGCATAAAGTCTAGAAAATAACCAATGTAGGCCAGTTACTGATGGCTCATACCTGTAATCCTAGCTGCTCAAGAGGCTGAGATCTAAGGATCATGATCAAAGCAAGCCCTGGCAGAAAAGTCTGTGAGATTCTTTGATGAACCACCAAAAAAGCTGGTAGAATGCTAGCCTTGAGAGAAAAAGCTAAAGGACAGTGCTTAAGTTTTGAGTTTAAGCCCTTGTACTGGTACAAGAGAAATAAAGAAGAAAGAAAAAGAGAGAAAGAAAAATAATTGGTGCAAAAGAGGGGCTCTGGGGTATGGCTCAAGTGGTAGAGCTCCTACCTTGCAAGTGCCAGGCCTTGAATTAAAAGTGTCCTATTGCCAAAAAGAAGGATGAAGAGGAGGAGAAAGAGGAGGAAGAGGAGGAGGAGGAGCAAGTGGCAGCAGTGAAAGTGGAAGAGGAAGAGAAGAAGAAGAAGAGGATGAGGATGAGGAGGAGGTGGTATTGGAGGAGGAGAAGGAGGTGGTATTGGTGGTGGTGGTGGAGGAGGTGGTGGAGGAGGAGGGGGAGGAGGAAGAGCAGCCGGGTTCTGGTGGCTCATGCCTCGAATCCTAGCTACTCAGGAGGCTGAGATCTGAGGATCATGGTTCAAAGCCAGCCTGAGCAGGAAAGTCTGTGAGACTGAGCTCCTATAAACTACCAGAAAACTGGAAATGATGCTGTGGCTCAAGTGGTAGAGCGCTAGCCTTGAGCAGAAGAGAGCTGAAGGACAGTGCCTAAGCCCAGAGTTCAAGTCCCACGACTGACAACAACAACAAAAAAGAAAATGAGAAAGAAGGAACGAAATAGAACAGAAAGAAGGAAAACCAGATAGGCATTTATTTAAATTTATATTATTATTATTATTTTGGTGATGGTACTGGGCCTTGCACAAATGTTCCTTTAATTGTGTGTGACTATAAAAGTTTACGAATGTGAGCTTGTGTAGCGGTATGTGTGCATATTTGTGAATGTGTGCTTGTGTGTATGCTTGTGGCTGTGTGAGGATGTGTGTGCTAATGACTGAAATTTTGTGTCAGGGATTGTGCCAGGTGACCTGACATGGCCCTTGCGTCAAATCCTTGTCATGTAGGGTCACAGGCTGCCTCTGCCTCCTCCTCACAGAGGCGGACACCTGTCCCAAGCATCACCTGGCCATCTCCGTGGGCATCTCTGGGTGGCCTGTCTCGGCTGGTTCACAGAGCACTTACTGAAGAGTTCAGGGGCTGGTTGACAGAACCCATCTCTGAAGAAAGAATAGGGGCTTCTGGAGAGAGAGCAAGGAACCAGGGCAAGTCTGAGCAACCCCTGCTCTGTGGCTAGGCCAGGTGGGCACTAAAGTATTGAAAGGGAAGTCTCTGGCCCAGAGAGATGCAGGTAAATAGGTGAGTGCCGATGACCTTTCTATCTGTCAATCCTGGGCAGTCAGAACTGTCCCTTGGTATTTGTGGTAAGGTGATAGCATGTTCTCTAAGTCATGTGCACTTGGGCATTTTGTCTTGTGAAACTGCCTTTGCTTGTCACCTTGTAGAGCCCCGGGTAGATGTGTAAGAGGTCAGCTGCAAGTCCTGTTCCCTCTTTTACAGAAACAAACAGGTCATTTTTATGAACCAACACTTGGCTAAAGAAACAGAACAACCACTTAGTTTCTCTTGCCATCTCAACTCATCTCCCTTCCTTTCCTTTCCCTTCCCTTCCTTTCCCTTCCCTCCTCTCCTCTTCTCTTCTCCTTTCCTCTTTCCTCTGTCTCTTCTGTCTGTCTCTGTGCCTGCTGGTCCTGGGGCTTGAACTATAAGGGTCTAGGTGCTGTCTCTTAGCTGTTTTATCAAGGCCAGTGCTCTACCACAGCTCCACTTCTAAATTTTTGGTAGGTAACTGGGAGATAAGATTCTCATAGAACTGTGATCCTCAGATATCAGCTTCCTGAGTAGCTAGGATTTCAGGCATGAGCCACCAGTGCCTGGCTCAGCAACTTCCCTCTGAGAAACTAGTGACAGTCCCTGTTGGTACTGCAGTGACATTTTGGCAGCTTCTACCCACGCACCCCTAGGTGCAGCTCAGTTGCAATTAGGCAGCCCTAGCTGTAGATGAGAAACAAGCAGAATGTGTAAAGGAGAAGGACCGGATCTACCAGTATGAGGAGTGGCCTGCCAGAGGGACAGAAATGGCGGGGACAACTGGGACCTTGCTGGTCAGGAAAGGGAATAAGGTATGTCAGCTGGAAGAACAAAGGAGGCTTTGAACCACCATTCTTAGATTTCAGCCTCCTAAGCAGCTAGGATTACAGATGTGGGCTACTAGCATCTGGCTTATTCCAAGTTCTTGATCCTTGAAAAAGAATAGAGCAAAGAGACTTTGGAGTCTATGATAAAGTGAGAAAAATGTCAGCCCTAGAGAGGACAGAGACTAGATTGTGGTCCAGACAATTGTATTCCTCCCACATGCCTCTTGTGCCTTGATCATTTGATTCAGACATGTTCTGTCCTCCTGACCTGGCAGAGTGATGAGCATGTGACTCTGAAAGGAAGCAGCTCCAACCAGAAGGGCTGGAAGGAGCTTGAGATGAAATCAAAGTTTGTGGCTTTAGAGTTTAGGAAGTAACCAATTTAAACTGGGATGAGCATAGAGTAGCTAGAGATAGGTGGGTGAATTTGTTCACAGGATAATAACTATGTAAGTAGGAAGAATGAAATATGGTAACAAAAAGTACATCTAAGGTTCCTGAAAGATGTAATTAAACACTGCCTTCCAGAGGAAGTAGTGGGAGGGAGGTGGGAACCTTTCTGATGCTATTAATGATGCATGGCTCAGACATGCTAAGGACAAAGGCAAAGGTGAAGTAGCAAAGGTGTTAGCCTCCCCCCCCACCCCGCCCAATTCCCTATGGGTATTCTAGGTCCTCCTAGAATTATTACATAGAGATGAATTTTAAAAGGATCTTCCAGGTCATATCCAGAACTTGAGCACATAAAATACATTTTGAGGGGTTATAACACTGTCTCCTTAATTATGCTGCCACATACTATTTAGAAAAATTAAGCAAGCTTGGTGCCAGTAACTCACGCTTATAAGACTAGCTATTCAGGAGGCTGAGATTTGAGAACTGCAGTTTGAAGAGAGCCTGGTGAGACAAATCCAACAATAAACCACCAAAAAGCTTGAAGTGGAGGTATGGGTCAAATAGCAGAGTGTCAGCCTTGAGCGAAAAAGCTAAGAGAAAGTGCTCAAGCTCTGAGTTCAAACCCCAGCACCTGCAAAAAAAAATTAAAAACAAACAAAATGCAACCAACAACCAACCCAACAAAATACAAAACAGAAAAAGTAAGCAAATCTTAAGAATATCTCTGGCAAACTATTCAACTCCAATATTGTATTCAGAGTTATAAAACTCTAGCAAATTGCAACTGTTAAAAACCCTCTATAGAAAAGTAGTTGAAGGGCCATCTTGTTTTAACTTTTTCATTATTTCCTGCTACAACTGAAGATACATGTTTGCAGAAATGTTTTTATTCTCATCCCTGTTTGATACAGCAAAAAACTCCACAAAAAACAAGAACAAAAGAAAAAGCACAGACAACCATTTCCACTTCCAATAGCTACCAATCACTGATCATGTTTCCTCTGTTGTTTGCTTTCACCCTAGAACAGATTGAAACTTGTTCTTTTGAGTTCTCCATAGCTCGTTATGGTCAGGGAGATGGCCGCTGTATGATGCAAGGGCAATCATGAAAAATGAAAACTAGTCTGTGAAATACTGTTATAATTACAGCACTGAAATTGAGAAAAACCCAATTAAATGTCTTTACCATATATTTTAAATAACTTCTTCCTTTTCTTTTGAACTCAGGGCCTCACAGTTGGTAGTTAGGTACTGAACCCCACTTGAGCCACAACTCCAGTTCTTAATTTGTGTGTGTGTGGCAGTATTAGGGCTTGAACTCAAGGCCTTGCCTTCTTGCTTAGCTATTTTGATGGTTATTTTTAACTTGAGCCACAGCTCCATTTCCAGCTTTTTGCTGGTTAATTGGAAGTCTCATGGGTTTGTTTTCCAGAGATGGCTTTGAATCTTAATCCTCAAATTTTAGCTTTCTAAATAGCTAAGATTACAGGTATGAGCCACCAGAGTCTGGTTTAAGTGATTTGAGAAAAAAAATAGACCAATTGAAATTTTATCAAGGCAAATAAGTTTTCTATTGCATGTTCCTGAGATTTTTTTTTTTTGGGTCGGTCATGGGGCTTAAACTCTGGGTCTGAGTGCTGACCCTCAGCTCTTCAGCTCAAGGCTAGTGCTCTACCACTTGAGCCACAGTGCCACTTCCGGTTTTCTGGTGGTTAATTGGCGATCAGAGTCTCACCGACTTTCCTACCTGGGCTGACTATGAACCTTGATCCTCACATCTCAGCCT